CCAAGGCGGGAACCGGACTGGGTCGTGCGTCCGGTGTAACCAAGGGCGCAGGACAATCCTGCGGTGGGCTGCGCTCCCGTTGGACCAAAGGCAGTGATGGCTGAGCAGGCGAAGTCGGTTGTGAAGGCAATGGCGGGAGTTCCTGTACTTGCTGGGACTCGACATACTCCAATATGGAGGTAAACTTCGTTTGGAGGATTACGTCGCAGCTGGGGATACTCCAGAAGTCCTTCTTTCGTGAAGAGGCCACCCATTGGCGGAATAGACCTTCAAAGCCATGTGGCCCGCGTCGAAATGTCCGGGGAATAACGTCCTTCCCGAGGTTCTTATCCATCGCCTGGATGAATAATCCCCAGATCCCATCCTCATCTTCAGGTGAGGGTAGCCACATGGGATGGTTGAAGTAGGTGGCAAATGCGTTGGTTGGTAGCCCAAGTGGGATGTCGGTCGGGGCTTTCAAAAGAGTCTCAATCTCTTCAATCGAGGCGATTATAGTTGCTGGGAGCTCGTCAGGAACCTCCTTGGGAGACTGTGCCACACGTTCCAAGGGCGTAGGGTGAATAATGTCCGGGGGCAGGGGGGCAGAAGACGCAGTGGGATTCGAGGCTGAAGGCGGTGGGGAGGAGTTGCAAACCGGAATACCGTAGGGAGGGCCCGCCTGCCCAATTTTCTTCTCGCCTTTCTTCAAACCGGCGAGCAGGGGATTGAGGCGGTCCCATAGATCCCGGGTGTCTTGGGGACTCCAGCCTGGCGTACTCCGGACGCCTCGAAGCCAAGAGAACATCAAGTGATAGGCGTCCAGGCCCCGGCGCAAGTTTCGAAATAGCATGGAATGATGCAACGATTGATCCCACACCAACTTGAAGTGGTGCAAAAGAGGGAGATGGGGGCTGCGGTCCGCTGGCAGTTTGAATGGAGTTGAAAATAGGACAAAGAACGGGTCGGAAGGCGTGCGCGACATGAGAGGGTACCATGAGGCCCGCTGGGCATAATCGAGGATTTCATCGCTAATTTTGCGGAATCCAGCGTCAGCAAGTTCCAAGGCTGGATTCTTTGGAGGGGGAGGGGGGGATGGCGCCCGGGTGGGAGGTTCACTGGGTTTGGAGACCCTCCTTCGTTTGGTCGCACCCTCGTTCGGTTCCACCGTAGATGCAGGGGTATCTACGGTCTGCTGCAGGACTTTTCGCTTTGCAATCCTCGGGGGGTTAGACCGCGGTTGAGGCTGAGGTTGCTTCGGGACCTTGTCAGCAGAGGATCGCCTTGGTTTGGGTGTGCTGGGGTTCGACCGTTTGGGAGGATGGTGTGACCCAATGGGGTTCACTGGCGTAGGATTGGCCACTTTGGCATTCGCAGCAAGGGTAACCTCAGCGATGCGCTGAGACGCTCGTCTTCGCGGCGGCCGCTTGCCATTGTGTGGGTCGGGATTGCCTGGAACGTACTCGTCCTTGTCGTCGGGTGTCGCGGGACGAAAGTGCGGCTTTGCTGGGGCTTCACCATGGGGACATCCTCAATTGGGACTCCATGCACTTGCACCAGTGAGTCCCGCTTGTTGCGGAAGGTGCCATCCTTGATGCCTGCCAAGAAACAACCGAACATGAGCATGATGTTCTGTTAAACCAAAGTGCGACCCAAAGACTCACTTTCAATGGTCGCCTCGATTTGATACCCAGTCTCTCTAAGGGACTCGAAGATGTCATTCGTCATTTGCTGTTCGGCCAATTGGGATGCAATCCAGTCCCTTTGCTGCACCAATGTGGATAGGAAGGAAGGAACATCGAGGTAAAAGGTAGTCCCTTTGAGGAGCAAGGCCTGGGTACTGGTGAGAATTGCTGTGGCCCAGCATCAGCCTTACATCATCGAAAAGTAATACCGAATGACAAGAAACGTACGTTTTTTGTCTTCATCCTTAGTCTCCTCGTCCTCATCATCCTTGTCATCCTTGTCCTCGTCCTCATCATCCTCGTCCTCATCATCGACTGCGCCATCCCCGCCTGCGTTGCCCTTGCCCTCTTCGCCAACTTCTTCATCCTCGTCCTCGTCCTCGTCTTCCAAGGTGAGAGAACTCGCGGGCGCCAAGTCTCCATCATTGGGGCCTGGCTGACTGACCTGGGAAAGCGAGGTGATTCGCTTGCCACCGTGATGAGGTTGGACTCCAATTACGCCCGCCATCGTGATGGCACCTGTGAGATTGAGTCAAAGTACACCGCGTCAATATAAACTGGCCAAAGGGAAATAAAATCAAACTAAAGGAATGGATTGGACATACCGGGAGTCCAAACTTGCGGAGGCTGGCCAACCTGTACCGTAGTAAGGGTGGCACAGCGTCGGAAACTATGGAAGTGAGGGGGGATGTGAGGAAAATGTAGGAAAAAGGCCGGTTCGGCGGTTGGATTTGATGTGGTCGGAGTTAGGGAAGTGTTTCATCGAGAGGTGAGAGACAATCGGTGAGGTATTCGGGGTCCGGACCAAATCGGGTTACCGACCGGTCCCGGGCCTTGATCCGTGGGGTCATACAGGGTCGCCAAGACGCGACTTGGCGGCCCCGTTGATCATTGGTGTTTTTTTTTATAGTTCTACTGGAAAAAAAAAAAAAAAAGTTACGACCTCGCAGCCTGCCAAGTCGCGACTTGGCGGCCCCAAGTTGACGGGTAATGCAACCAACAACTGGAGGAATCCGGGGCCACCAAGTCACGACTTGGCGCCCCCGTTGATGATCGGGTTTTTTTTTCTTGTAGCACTATAAAAAAAAATAAAAATAAAAAAAAGTCACGAGCTTGCAGTCGCCAAGTCGCGACTTGGCGGCCCCGGGGT